CAAATATTAATTAAACAAATTTATACGATAACAGATTTATCGTGTACACTAACTGAAAACAAAAATTTTCTTCCAGTATTTTTATTTTGTTTTATTTTGTTTTTTTTATTATTTTATTATAATATTATTTTAATTATTATATATTTAATTTTAAATACTTACTTCTGTGTTCATGATTCCAAAAACTATAAACATTATGACGCATATAATGTTAATATATGATGTGAGTTTATAACTGATCTCTTGATATGCAAGCCAATTTTTATAATTTGTAATTATTACTGTATTCAAAAATACAGTATATAAAATGATATATATGCTAGCGTATGTTATACTCCAGCCATATCGTAATCGTCCTTTGAATTCAAATATACGTAGAGCAAATATTTCATTAATAATAATGATAGGTATTAGCGAAGCATATTGGGTTTCTGGTATCCATTCTAAAATTTTTGTTTTAAATGCTTCAATTGTGTCTAAAAGCACAGCACATATATTAGAATTCTGATAAATAAATTTATAGAATAATAATTCTCATGTAATTTTAAAATTATATTATATAATAATTATATAATATATAAATTTTATAATATAATCTATAAAATAATTGTATAATTAATTGTATAAATTTTTAGAACAGATTTTTTATAAACATTTCAAATACAATTTTGAAAATATTCAATGTTACATTTTCAAAAATTTTCAAAATCGTACAGTAAAATTTTTTCCTAAATTATGAATTATACCATTAAATTTTCCTTATGAATAATAATATTAAATCTCTATAAATTAATAATGGAAAGAAAATAAGAAAATTAAGGAAAAATAAATCAATGTCTAAAATTATTACTGAAATGATCTTCTTTAATGAAAATAATATTTTTCTACCATTATTATCGAAAAAATTATTTCTTTATAGTTTATATATATAAGAAAAAATTTGACATGTACATAAAAATATTGACTTACCTTTCATATTTTTCTTTGTTTTGTTCATGATTTGAATAATATTTTTTCTAGTAAATTTATTCTAGTAAAATTTTTTATTTATAATAAAAAATTATATTTATTATTATAATAAAAATTCTCACTTTTTTTATTAATTATAAATTTATTTTTTTTTTTATGTTTCTACTGAATTGTCAATACTATTGCAAGTTATAAAATGAGTAAGTTTATCTGTTTGTCAATCGTCATAACCTCCTTTATATCTCATTTATGATTAATGTGATTAAAGATAATCTTCATATTCTCTAGAATTATTTATAATTATATATTTTCAGTATAATTCTTTTTCAAGATTAATGGAAAATTTGCATGTCATTTTATTTATTTATTAATGTAGATATAAACTAAAATAAAGAATTTTTTAAAGAAAATATTAACTTCAATTATTTTTCAAAGTTATTGAGTGATATATAGTTATTAAATTATGTAGTTCACCAGCGTTCTGTATTATAAGGGATTAATGAAAGTAAGAGTCTTTATCATTGATAGTTAAAAATTTTATAATTCTTTTTTTTTTTTAATCTATAAAGATCTTGATTTTCTGTATATTGGAATATTTCAATATTTGAATACTGTTTTAAATATTAAATTATGATTTGTAACATGTTGTAAATTTCGTTTCTAATTTTCTGTATTCCAAGATTTTTGAATATAATCATTTTTTTCTATATCATGAAACATTAGTAATTATTATATTTTATTTTAATATCTTTAATATTATAGCTTATATTTATTATACATTTATTTATAATTGTTTATTATTGATAAAAATTTTCTTATTATTTATAGAAGCTTCTTTTTTATAAAAATTTGATGTAAAAATTTCATTCTATAAAGATTGTAAGTATTTTGCATCTAGTTCATGTCTGTTTTTTTTATATATATTTTACATTTAAATTTAAAGATTTATCTAAAAGTATTTCATATAGTTAATGTATAATGTTAGTTTATTATATTGCTATTTTCTAATATAATCGATAGATATTTTTTTTGACGCATAATAGTAATCTAATGAAGTTATATATTCATTATCCAGTTATTTTATTTGTTCATATTATTCAATTATTTCATTGATTACGTCTTGAAATTTTTTTTTTGCATTTTGGAAGTTATTATTTATTTATATTATGATTCGATTCGTTTTATAATATCATCTTTGAACTTATTACACAAATTTAATTGATAAAATCAATTTATTTATTTTTTTTTGCACTTTTAATAAAATTATCGATTAAAAATAATTATAAATATTCCCGTATTCTTATAATCTTTATATAATATAGAAATTGTGAGTATTATATAAGTTCAATAAAATTATATGAATTTTTGAAATGTTTGTCATAATTATAACAACTTATTAAATTTTATAATCAAACAAAAGAATTTTACTTTTGATCAGATCGATGTTAGAAAATTTTTTTTTTTTTTGAATTTTTATAATATTTTATTTTATTTCTTTCAACTTGTTTTATTTAATATTTTGAATTCAATTAGTTTCAACATTATGTTTCAATGGACGAAATTAAACTTAGAATAATTAATAATATTAATTATATATATTTTATAGTTATATGCGATGAATGTAATGTATTTTTGCGGCAAAAATAATAATTTTTTTCAAAAATATTTTTTGCTAATTAAAGTCTTTCCTTTGTAGCAAATAAAAAAATAACTATTCTTTTCAATTTTCTAAATGTTTTTCACAGTAATTATTTCATACAAAAACTAAGAAATATAAATAAAATTTCTCATTAATAATAATTTTGAATTAATTACTTCATTTCTTTGGTAATTGCATTTAGTGATTTGTATTTTTGGTTTTTGACATAATTCACATTAATTTAATTTTTTTAGATGAATTTTCTATGGACTATATTCTAAATAGAATATTTTTAGACTTCTCTTGTTTAGGCGGCTACTCGGCCTATTTCCTAAATTATATTTATAAATTTTATTATTTATGCTATTTATTCATAAGTTTTTAAAAATATTTGCAAATTATATTATTTATTTATATATATGATTATTTTTTATTTTCTTTCAAATATTTTTTTAAATTAATTCCAGTTTGCGTTATTGTTCTATATGTGTGATTTTATATTTATTAGCGTAATGAATATGTTCAATATTACTCTTTTTTTTAACTGATGTTATTAATAAATTTTTTTCCTTTCTTAATTTTAGATCATAATTTCTAATAGAAAAAATGCATCTTTCTGAATTGTCTATTTTCGAATTGCTTAGATATAGTTTATCATTTTTATGTCAGTACTGAGACATTATTTTTGTCTAGAATGGCAAAGTAGAAAATTTTAATTTTAATTTTGTTTTTTAATGCGAAAAATAATTTTGTTACAGTTTTGTTTTTATTATAAAATCTTTATAAAAAAATAACTATAATTTTAATAGTTACAACTTTTTTTATATATTTTGCTTACAATTATTTATATTTAAACTTAATAAAAAAGTTTTGATATATTGAATTTTTTTTATTTGTGTATATTTTTGGCAATATGTGAATCAGTACTATGCAACTATCTATTATTTTTTACAATAAATTTTTTTTTTTTACAATAATAATAGGGAAGCTTACATTGATATTGTTAAAGTATATACACATATAAATAGTATTTAATTATATTAATAGTATTTAACTATATAATGTTATTTTATTAAAAGTTTTTTATTAATATCTTAGAAATTAATAGAAAAATATAACTAAAATTTTCTTCTCGCAAATATTCTTCAAAATTTCAGTTCGTTTGAAATGTATTTTATTCCTGCATCTAACAAAAAAATTATTTATATTGATTATTGAAATCTGATTTTAAATATAAATATAATTAAATATTAAGATGCATTACCAGCAAAAAATAAATTGCAAGTTTAAAAATAATGAATGATTAATGTTTATTTTGTTATATTATTAAAACCATTACTATATATTCATATAGACTTAATAGAATAGATAAAGTAATTAAATTAAACATAAAAATAAAATTCAGAATCCTGTTGCTATAATATTAAACTTATTCAACTTTTTCCGTGTCTTCTTTCTTCAATTCAAAGTCAGATTTTTGTGATATAATTCTTATAGTTCCTTTAGTCAATTCTTTTTTTTTCGGAACTATATGATTTTTATTTTCATTTAATTCTTCCATTATGAATAATTTAACAATTACGAACTATCATTAATTATTCATTATTTAGTGAAACAAAACATATAAAATATAACGAAGCCATTGAAAAAATCTATATAATCTGTTTATATGGTAAAACTCGTATGATATTCGAAGATAAAGTTTTTTAAACTTTATACGAAGAATCATTCTTTTAAACAAACAAAGACATGAGATATATTTCATATGTTTACGAGTCTACAGTTAGTCAGATTTGCAATATAGAAATATCTCTATAAATGGTAATGATGTATAATTATATTATTGCATTTACAATATCATTTATATCAAATGTATTACATAATTTGCAAATGTACTTGCTATTATAAAATTGAATGATTTGATTTATGCGATACGATTCACAATTTTTCACTATCATTATCGATGTTACAATCTCGATATTCTCGAAGATGTAATCTTTTTCTCCTATTTCATAATTTATAATAATATACCAATTGTAGAATCATAAATTTAGCTATTATCACTTATAACAAAATATTTATTTAAAACAATTTCAATTTTAGTGCATATTATAAATGTCAATTATTTATTAAATAATTAAATTGCAATTAAACATTTTCATTAGATGAAGCAAGACGTAAAATATAATAGAGACGAAAAAATCTAAGAAACACAAATTGTTATTAATTTAATAAATAAGTCCCAATAAATATTTTTGTATTTATATCAATTTTGCTCTCTAAAATCTTAGAAAAAATCTTCTTTAAAACAGTCATATAATAAATGTATAAAAGAATAATAAATTGATTTTTTTTCTCATAATCTCTTTATTAGTTTGTTATATTTATAATTTACAATAATGTATAATGCTATAAAATATAATAGATAATATAATAGATAATAACGAATCATGATTTTAATAGTAATAAATCATTAATCCTCAAGGATTTTGTCTAAGAATTTTATTTCATACTTGTCGATATAGTTATTTGTATGAATACAACCAAATAAGTGATTAGAGTACCAAAAAACTGAAGAAGAATTCATTAAGAATTAAATTCTTAAATAAATAGTCAATTATTGTTATACAATTATTTAACTCACTTTTGTTGATAATTTGTTGCTAAGAATGTAACCACCAGCAGTAATTTTAAAGGATGAAGTAGAAGTTGTAATAAAAATTGTTGTATCTGAAATTGTTACAGCTTTTATTTTAAATATTTTATAATTTCAAAAATAGGAATTATTTGTATTCGATATGCTTTTTAGTATGAAAAAAGAAAAGTTTGAAAAAAATTTATATATAATATATTTATATATTCATATTTAAAGTATCTTTTAATATTCTAAACAAAAGAATAAAAAAAACATTTGAATAAGATCAAAAAATAAAACAAACATTTTAAATAAGATCAAAATAGAAAAAATAATTTATTTATATATAGTTTATATATAGTTTATATGTTATATCACATAAATATATAAAGTGTGAGTTTTCAAAAATATTCAAATATGAATGACATTTCTTTACAATGTAAGATCTATAGATTTATAAAATGATGAAACATTTATGGAGGATGAATTTTAAATATAAAATTAAAAAAAATTATTGTTAATGAGATAAGGAATTTTGAATTTACGTTGGATAGAGTGAAACGATGAATGATAAAATTAAAAATTATGCGTGCAGTGTATCATACTATTACTTTTTCAAAGACAAAAACAAAACAACAAAACAATAATTCAATAAAACAATAATTATATTCTTTTAGATATATTAATGTTTGTAATTTTAATGTAATGTAATATACAATGAGTTATATATAATCTATTATTTATTATTAAAAAATTTAAAAAAGAAAAGCATTAAAGAAAAGCAAATTTTAAAATTTTTTGATATTTTATATCATTTAAATTTATAAATGAATCGTTGTATTATTTATGAAATCCATAAGTAAATCATTGTATAATACTCAAGTTGCTTAATTGATGAAATATACGGAATTTACAAAATTCTATATTTTTAATTAGTTAAATATTTTCTATCACAACTTGTTTCCTTTATTTATTTTTACATTCTACATTAATTACATTTTATATTTATTTTAAAATAAAGTTGCTTCTTTTGTTTGCTTCTGAATAAGTCAAATTTAAAAATATACATATATAAAATATATAAATAAAATATATATAAGTATACATATATAACAATTAATGTTTTTATTATTCTTTTATTGTTATATTCTTATAACTGTTATTTTATTCTAATATTAATATATTATTGTTATTTTATTAAAAGTGCACATAGAATGTAGTATCAGTATTAATATATATCTTAAATTTTAAAAATTATAAGAAAATTGCAAAATAAATACAGCGTAAAAATATTGAAATATCCATAAATTGAATTAACAAATATTTTTTTATCAATAGAAAATTACATCGAATTTTATTATGAAGAATGAATAAATAAATATAATATTCAACATATTTCGTGATTAACCAATATTTTTTGTTAATAATTCATTACGATTATTTTCATTATTATATATATTTTTTTTTTTGGAAAATTGTTTTATTCATATACAACAAAAAATAAAAATATTAAATAAGGATTTAATCAAATTTTATTTTTCAATAGGTGAATGCAGAATTTATAAACAATTTAATTAATATTCATTTCTTACAAAAGTACATTTCAGAAAAAAATACATGTACATAAAAAATTGCGAATATTAGAAAGAAGATTTTAGACAAATAGTTGAAACGATAGTTGTGTCGTGAATTGCAAATTAAATAACAATGATCGATCCTGAAAATATAAAGTATAATTAAAGAAATTTTATCTTTAACAAAAGATTTAAAAAATTTCATTAGTCAAAATCGATTAAAGATATCAAATATGGAATAGGTGGATTCTAATGAAAAAGAGCAAGATTGAAACCAAAGAACTTATTGTTGGAAGACGATTAACTTATGCATATCCACATGGCCGTGTGAAAGAGATTTGGACTGCATTATAAGACTATATTAAAAATTTACATTATCAAGTAAGATTTACTATTTTTCTTTAAAAATTTATAATATAAAACATTCGAAAAACAAAAATATAAAAGAACATAATCGAATAATGGAATTATAAAATCAATTAGAACATCAATTGAAAAAACTATAAAAAAATATTCTTTTATCCCAATGATAATCTGTAGTTTTTCAGAACCTTATAATAATCGAATAACTATTTTTGAAAGTAAACTCAATAAGAATTTACCATTGAATTTAAATAAAGAAAACTAATGAATGGCTATTGTAAAAGATTGAATTGATTTATGTAAGTGAAAGTCATTTTCATATAACATTGAAAACACAAAATGATTCCAATTTCAAAAAAGAAAAAATCCAATAAATTCGAGCAATTGCTATTGTAAAAAAAAAAAAATTATATAAAACAAGGAAACAAAAAAAAACAAAAGATAAATAAAATAACAGAATATAATAACAATGAATTCTGTTTCAAATCCGACATAATTAAAATAAATGATATATTGATTCAAAAGCAATGAATCGATATAAAATCGATAATAAAAAATTATTTAGCTCTGTATTAATACAAAAATAATATGATGATGGTAAATGGTAAAACAATCAGAATTAAAGATAATTTTATAAAAATTATAAGTAGCATTAAATTTAAGTTAGTCTAATATAGAAAAAATTATAATCAAAATTATAATATATATATGTTCTTGAATTAAACGATAATTTAATATTATTTAAAAATATATGAAAAAGCAAGAAGAAGCAAAATGCTTGACTATCATTGAACTGATTATTGGATATATCAGATTATTCAATTTTACAAATATGAGTATACTAAATAGAAAGACGAAAAGTTTAACACAAATCTGAAATTGACATAAATAAAGCAAAAAAAAAAAATCATATGATATTTAAAATATAAAAGTATTAAAATTAGGATGCAATTAGAAAAACAATTAGCTGGATATTTACAGAATGTAGACTGAACAGCAGAATAATAAAAAACTGAATAACAAAAAAAATAATAGATATCTATGAAATTAATGCAAACATATGAAGAACAATCATGTACTATTTTATCATTGATCGAAGTGGAATATATTTTTTTATATGGAACATGGCAAGAAAGATTATAGCTTATAAAATTTCTTAGTGATAAAATAAAAATAAAACTTCCAATAAAGTAATTTCAGGATAATCAAATATATTAATTGAAAATTAAAATTATAAAAAAATAATAAAAGACATAGATTGTAAAACTATTTTATAAAAAATCTAGAGAAAGATAACGTAATTTAATTGTAACAATTCTGAATATATGATTCCAGAATTATTAGCGAAACTATTGGAAAAGTATTTGACAACATTGTATTGTGAATATAATAAAAGTACGATATTATGGAAGAATAAAAATGAAAAAATAAATAATACATCCGGATAATTAAAAATACAGAAAGAAATTAATTTTTCAATTTATTCAAAGTCAATGAAATTTAAAATATACATTTATACATACACACATATGTCATGCATGCATACATAATTGTTTGAAGTAAATATTGATATAAAAATAAGTTATTAAAGCCCAAAATTTTTTCAAAATACTTTAAAAAAAAATGAATTATGAAATTGTATTGTTTTTTTAAAATTATTCAACTTTGTCTCATTGTATTTCATTAATAAGCATTTAATTAAAATAAATTTTATAATATTAAAGATTATCTTTTCAGCTACAAATATGTGCAACAATTATAAGAATATACTTGTTCTAATCTTTCGGAAAATATTTTCTGTGAAATTATTATTTTTTCGTTAGTTTAAACGTTTGGTGATGTTTATAATGGAAGTTATAGAAAAAAAGTTACGAGAAAAGTACGAGAAGAGATGAATTTTACATAAAAGTATTATCAGAGCATATTAAAAATGAATACAAAAAAGTTTTACTTACTTATTTAGAAATTATAGAATTTAATGTATAAGCACAGAATTATTTCTTATAGTCATATATATATGACATACATATACTATTTACAGATTTTAGACTTATTTTCCTATAATTATTATCAATTATTTAATTCATTCATTATAGATATATCACAAATAAATATATTTTAGTGCTACTATATATTTTATTTGTAATTTATCTATTACTATAATTGAAATAATGAGTTGGAATAGTGTGATAGCTTGATTGAAAATTTATATCAAGTATTATATGATTATGATTTGGATTGTTGCACATTAGTAGTTTTCAACATGTAAATTACTAATCACAACATCATAATCATAATTATAAAAATTTGTTGTTTTTTATTGTTACATTGAATTTTGATTATATATGTGTGATTGCATCGATATGTAATTATTATTTATTATTTATTTATTATTTCTATAAAAACATTCTAACGTTTTTTAAAATATATAAATATATAACGAGTGAACTAATATTAGTACAATTATTTGTTAATATTTATAACAAATTTACGTATTTTACGAATTATTCAAATATGTAGAATGCGAAAATAAGATATTAAATAATTACAACAACTTCAAATTATTAAAATCATAATGGCCGAAATTATAATGATAATGACATCACATAATTTACATATTAAACATTTTACTGGTCATTATAATAAATTTATACAAATAGTAAATAAGAGATAATATAATATATATAGTATTAAGATCACATTCTAATGCATATAGTGATAGATACAATATACATAAACAATATTGAATAACGCATATATATCTTGCAATATAATATATATAGATTTTTATTATTTTCTCGAAAATTAAAAAATTATCGTAAAATTTTATATTTAGAATTCTCCTAATTTTATTCTTCAAAATTTTGATTTGATATATTTAATACTCGGATTATATCGTAATGTCAAGCCAAATTAAGCGAATAAAATGATCGAAATTACAATGAGAATTCAAAATGATAGCGATATCAGCATTGTAATTATATCTATTTTTATAACATTGTTTAGTGTAATTTCGATTTTTCAAAGATTGTTTTATATTTTCCCATCTGAAGGATTCACGGAATGTAAAAACTGTACATGAATAAATATTAAAAATAGTATTAGTTCATCCGTTATATATTTTTCATTTCAGTAACTATATTATGTTCCTACAATTGAAAAGAGAGGAGCTAAGGCAAAAAGAGCTGAGACATATTTTCTTACAAACATATAAGCGAAATTCTATAATTTTAATAATTCTATTTTAATAATTTCATTTCATAAAAAAAAGTATCTATGAATAAGTATTCCGTAAATAAACTGAATTTAAATGAACATAAAATATTAACATTTTTTTCTAAGAGATCAATATATTTGAAATCCATAAATTCTTCAAGATTGTTATTCTTTATGGCGAATACTTTAAGATGCTATAAAAAAAAATAATTTGATTTTAAAAATCATCGTCAAACTCGATTTTATGATTATTTTTTTCAATAGATTTCCATTGATTCAAAAATGTAGAATTATCTCTCAAAATCAATATCAATACAATAATAAATTTTTCATACCTCTTTAAGCAAAATTTAATTATAACATTATAAACAGAAACAAAAATTCTTCTAGAATAATTCAAAAATTAAAATGATAATATGTAAATTATTTCATTGATAATTTCTAAAGAAAACACTTAAAAGATGATTTTTGAAATATTTCGAGATCATGAAAGTTAGTAAAGAGAGAGTATATGAAAAGATAATCTTTAACGAAAGTAAATCAAAAGTAATTGAAGTGATTTATATATTTATATATATTTATAATATTTACATATATCAAATCTTACCTCGTTTCTAATGGAATTATCCAAGTAGCAAATATCCAATTCTTGAAGCAAATGTGCTGTTATTTCTACCTATAAAATTCTAAAATTAAATGCATTATCTATAGATTAATTTTTTATTTATGATATAAAAAGATATAATCTTACCTCGCGGTAGAATTTAGTATAATGATTATTTAAAAAGATAATTTTTATAAAAAATAGAAGAATCCACATGAAGAATCCTATAAGTCCTTTATTTGACAATATTTCTGACAATTTCAAGGATATTAAATAAAAATATCCATTATAAAGCACACTCAATAGTGATGAAAATTGCATTATTAAATCTAATACAATTTGATAAGTATATGCTTGGTTAAGTTCACGTGAAAGTTTCAGAATCTCAAAATGAATATGCCTTTAATATATATAATATGTATATATATATGTATGTGTATAAATTTGTATATGTGTGTGAAAAAGAATAGTTTAATTGGAAACGAAATAATGTAAGTATAATCATTTTTATCAACTTATTATCATTAATAAGAGAAAAGGGAATAGCCCCAGATATTTAAATAAATAAAAGCAAAAAAATAAATAAATAAATTTTAATGAAATTCTTCTTTCTGAAAACATATGAACTTTTTAATTACTGAATCACTTTTTAAAAATAGTTTTAGAAAAAGAGATCAATAAACTAAAATTGAAAAAATATGTTTACACATGTTAATCACAAGAAAATGGTTCGCAGCATTACACATAATCAATTATTTTTTATATGTTCACATATACTTAAAAGCATCACAATGTAAGTTTGATGAATCAATATTTATATATCCAAACATTATTTATATATCCAATTTTTGGATTTATCTTATAACATTTTTTAAAGATTTTTTGATTAAAAATGCATTGTGATGATGATAATTTTTTTTGTTTTGTATTTTGATTTAAAAAATTTTTAATATTTTATTTTTTTCATGACACAATTTTTGTTTAATGGCAATCCATTTTATAAAAAGTTTATCCTGCAAAATATTGAAATATTGAAATTTCACTTTTTTTGTTTTTTATTTTAGTTGAAATACAAAACATTTTTTTAGAAATAATAGCAAATATGATAATAATATAATTGCATTTTTTACATTGCTCGTTGAATTTATACATTCAAAAAAATTTTTTGTGGAATTATTGTAGAAAGATGTTGAGAAATAGAAAAATGATTGGTAGATTTTGATTTTTAAATTAATATATGAATCAATTAAAAAATACTTCGATATCTTTAAATTTATTATTAATTTAAAAAACAAATCTGTTTAATGCTATTTTTAATTTGATAAATTTATTAAATTTTTAATATATTTAATTTTATGTGACATTTGAGATTCTCGAAAATATTTTAGAATAGTATATATCCTATATTTTTGCCATAATTAATATAAATCAAAATTAGCTTAATGAAAATTTTAAAAAATATTGTATTATTAACATTAAAATCAATAAAATACTTAATATATTTTTATTTATATATTTTTTTATATTTTTTATATATTTTTTTATTATTATCTCTTTTATCTATTCAATATTAATAATCGTAATATTTTATATAATAAACATCGTTAAAATTTCATATTAGTAATATCATTTTCAATAAAAAGAAAATTGATTTTAATATCTAATTTGCTTGATATGCATGTTATTATTAACTTGTAATTGTTAAGCACAAAGAATCGAGATATTAAAAATATCTGCATTTATCTATTTGAGGCTATCCGCTTTACTTCTTTAATAAATAATCTAACAAAAATAAATCTAACAAAATTCTATATATTGTTATGAAATTACCTTGTAACTTGAAGAAAATGTTGAACAAAATATTTTTTATTATTATAATCCATTATAATTACAAATTTATATACAATAAATGATTGCATTTTATACCTTATATTAATATCTTTTGTATTTGATAGCTGACACATCTCTTTCATAATCTTGTTTATCTTATGCAACTTATCCTGTAAAATACTTAAAAAAAATTGAAATAATATAATTTTGGAAACAATAATGATTGAAATAAATACAATGCTATAATTAATATTATAAACTCATTCATATTTTTATAATTTTCATAAAAATAAAACAATTTTCAAAAAAAATCTTCAAAGAAATCAAAATCTTAAAAAATTGAAAATATCTTATTTCTAGAATAGTCATAGAAAAATAAAGAAATGAAATGAAGAAACAAAATTTTTTCTCGTAAATTTGAAAAAAAAAGAATATTCTCTTAAAATTATATTTTTTACGTTATCTATAATGTGAATTCAATATGTTATTTTAAATTCTTATATTTAAAATTTATTGAATTTTAATTTTGTAAATTTTAATTTTATGTAATAATTTTTGATTATCAATGATCAAGTAATCACAAATACTTGTAATTGAATAATTTGTTCAATCTAAATTACTGATCTACTTTTGATTCGATTTTTATTAATCCATTAATAGGTTTTGTAAATTTAATTCTAATAGAATTTTATTACAATTTTGATTTAAAGATTTTCCTATCCCATCCCAAAATGTTTTTTTTTTTTGTAATTACCATCATAATACAATGACGGCTATAAATTATGCTATAAAGCCACCGTTAGTTTTCATTCGATGAATACTTCATTTAAATATAAAAATATTTATCATAATGAAATTTTATTCTAATTTTTAATTTATAATATATATAATATAATAATATCGATACTAAAAAAAGTAATTTTTTAGTTATTATATATTAGTGTAAACATTTTTTTCATAATTCTAACACTTTTTCGTTAACCATAATAAAATTTACTTTACTACCACTTGATAGAAATTCACAAATTGATTAATAACAAATCGTGAGATACGTTCACATTATTGATTTAGTTTTGAACAAATCCGAGTTTATTTACATAAAATATTATTTTCAAGAATTGTTGCTTGGATGTGATTGAATTGAAATTTAAGTATTACTCAAAATTTCTTCTATTTTATTTGTTTAAATAGATTCTATTATTTTTTATCATTATTAATTTTTGGCTTTTCCTATCTATAACTATTCTTATAAGAAGAGAATATTAAATCATCGATTACTGTTAAGATTAAAATTAGTTTAGCAATCGGTTTAAAATGTAGTAATTGATTTCATTTCTTTTTTTAAGCTACTTTTTGTTAAGAATGTTAAATTGATAAAAATATTATCTGTTTATTATTAGTTCTTTTATTTAAAAGATAAATAAGAATTATTAAATAAAATTAAATATTAGTTCTTTTATTTTTATCAATGTTATGAATTATAATATAATATATGCACATTTGTTAAGTTTGTGATTCGTAAAATATCTAAATTTGTTATAAATATTAACAATAATTGTACTAATATTAATTCACTCGTTATATATTTAATGTGAAATGTAACATCAATTTTGAGAAAAAATATTATTTTAGAAAATTTAAATATCATATATCTCTTTTAATAAAGCTATATGATTACAAAAATCATATCAAAGTGAAATTAAAATCAATAGAAAAATATATTGAAAAAAAAAGCCTAAAGGTAAATATTTTATAGTTTATAATGAGAAAAAATTTAATTTGAATAGATCTCATAGCTGCAATTATTATTAGCATGATCTAAGAAAAAAAATGTTTTATTATAAAAATTTCTAATATTTAATTTTCCAGATACTAATTACTTTCTCATAAGGCTGAGGTTACTATTTCATATTAAATCAAATTATCAATTATTATAAAAATATTTAATATTATTTATATTCTGTCATTTATTGATAAAGATTAAGAAAACTATTTTTTAAAAATAGTGACTCTGTAAAACTATCGATATTCACCAAAAAAGTTTTTGGAACTAATTCCTAAGAAGTTAGCATAGTCATTATTAAATCTTGATTTTGACATTATTGAAAATATTGCATTTTGGCAAAAAAATTTATTAAAAAGAAAAGAACTATAAATTAACAAAGAAAATAAATTAATCATCATTTGAAAAAAATATATAGGATTTACTTGTATAAAAATGACTCAAGAAAATTTAAATAACTTAATTAATGTTTATAATTGCTTGATCATATCAAAAATGAAAGAAAATTGACTAAATATAAAGGTTTATAAAGATATTAAAATTATATTTTGATTTTATCATAGTTTTAAATACATTATTAAAAGAGACATTCTATTTTTTATATTTTATAGAAAATTAGAAGAATTTTGTTTCTATGTTTCTTGCATATCATATTACAGAAATAGAATAAGAATTTTTCAATCTTTATTTCATTCTTGTAAAAATTGTAAAAATATAGAATTTTTGTAGTATTATTTGTAGTATAATTATAATATTGTATATCATATAAAAAGTAAGCGTAAAGGATATTATAATATGATTCTATATTTCTGGATCAATCATGATTTTATATCAAAATCTAGGAAAAAATAAATATAAGCATGATCTTTATATTAAAAATTAGACGAATTTTTTTATTGTATCGTATTCTATTCGTTGAAAAAATAAAAAAGTTTCAAAGAAACTATGATATATATAGTCAATTATCTCTTGAAAAAAAAATATTATATTTCTATTATGAATTCATTTTATTTAAAATTTCTTCGGTTAATTTCAAGAAAAAAATTAAACTCATTTAACATTTGTCATAAACGAAATATCTTTAATAAAATCCTTTCATAGATTTTTTTTACAATTTTTTACTATATTGTACTATTTTAATGCTGAATTATTTTCATTATTATATATTATAGATTTTTCTTTTCGAGAAAATTTCTTATAATTTTCTTTTTTTTTTTGTTTCTCTTCCTCTTTCTATTTAAACCATACATATATGAACTTGTAACTTTACTTCATCTATTTCGTATGTTAATCATTGATTTAAATTCATTGATTGAATAAATACATATCGCACAAAATATCAACAAAATATCGCAATATATTTCATTGTGTAAAGATACTTTTAAAAATATCAGATCGATTATTTAAATAATGAAAAAAAAAAAACAAGAAAAAAAATAAAAATGTGATAATTCTGAGACATTTTTATACATATATATGAATTTTTCTTGCAACCAAAGGAAATTTAATTCTTTTTTTCAAAAGATAAAATATAATGATTTTTTTGAGACTTTTTATTCTTGCTAAAATATAATACAATAAAAAATTTTAATTTTGAATTTTAAGATCAAAAAAAATTTTTGTTCGCAGTTTTATTTACAAAAGAAAAAATATAAATAAATTTACATTAATTTTAACGAAAAATAGTAAAGTTGTTTATGAAAATCAATATTTTGTTATAAGTTTATCAAATATTGGTTTGTTTGATAAGTTATATAATTTAACATTAATTGTTAATGATATTATTATAAAATATGAAAAATTTAGAAATTATTAGATTTTTATAGAAATTTGGTTTTAAATCCAGAAATATAATATCTTTTCCTTTATTTTTCTATTCTTTAATAAATAATAAATAAATAATTTTAAATTCAAGAGCATTTCTTTCTTTGTATAATTTACCTTATCAATATGGTGAAAGTAAGAATACCTAAACTCATAGTTATTATTGATATATGTATAAAAACATTTAAATCGATTTGGTATTGAATGGAAATAATAGAATAGCAATCTAGCGAAATAATGCTTATCATTATTATGCCAGATGTAATTAATGTTTGTGTAACGCAAAGAAAAGTTTTTCGGTAATTTTTCTCAATTCCAAATGATTCTAAAGTATTATCTATTTGTTCACATCTTGCAATAATTTTCCTCGAACGCTACAATGAAAAAGGAAAAAAGTTGTAAAAAATATAAGAGCTAGAAAAATAAAAAAATATAATATATAATGTTAATATTTATTATATTTATAAGTCACTTTTCAATTTTAGGATCAAAACAAATATAGAATTGAACATTAAATATGTCATTTGTAATTTTTTATAAATCTTAATATAATGTATTAATAATGTAATAAAGTATTAGATACTGTGATAAAACATAATATATTTTAGAAATTTCTTGTTGAATATCATATTATTGAATATTATAATTATATATAAATATAAATATTATATTATTGCAGTTAAAATGCATTTAAATGCGTTAAAATGATAATCTAAGACATTACTATAGTTAATTAAAATTAACGAAATTAGATTAAAAAATAATGCCTGCTAACATTTGCAATTCAAATATTGAACATTTATCTGAATACTTTATAAATCTGATTCTTATAAATCTTAAAAAGAGAGGAAATGCATATATGAATTTAATAAGAAATCAGATCATTTAATTTTATTCAATATTTATGATAATTATTTTGAAATTTTATTTGTGAGAATTAGTAGGAATAGTAACGATATGAAAATTAACAAAAATCAAGATGTTAAAATGAGCACTATTATATATATATATATATTAATTAAAAATTTTCTTCAAAATTTCTATTTCATCTAATTATCTTATTATTTTATTATTTATTATTATGTATTTTAGATTAAAAAATACTTACTTCTGTATTCAGCATTCCAAGAATTATAAAAATCACGACGCATGTAACATTAATGTATGAAGCCAATTTATGACTGATTTCATTGTATGCAAACCATCTTTTATAATTTATATTTATTATTGTATTTAAAAATACAAGAAATAAAATTATACATATGCTAGCGTATATTATACTCCAGCCATATCGTAATTGTTTTTTTTGATTCAAATATACGTAGAGCAAATATCTCATTAATGATAATGATATGTATTAGCGAAGCATATTGGGTTTTTGGTGTCCATGCTAAGATTTTTGTTTTAAATGTCTCAATTGCGTCTAAAAACATACATATTAAAATTCTATATAATAGATAAACAAATTTGAAAAATAATAATTCTTATTTCTATAAAATTATATAATTTTTATAATTATACTATATAAACTATATAATTTCATAAAAATAATTATATAGTATATAAATTTATTTAAATATTAATATAATAAAAAAATAATAACAAAATAATTTATAAAAATTTTTTATTAGCTGATTTTGATATATGTCTCATATGTAAAATATAAAAATTTTAAAAATTATATTTATATTTACTCTCCAAATTTATACAGTGAAATTTTTTTTTAAATTACATAAATTATGATATAATATCTTTATAAAGTAACATATAAACAAAAAAAAATGAATTAATGTGAACAATTTAGATTAAATGAACTTAAAGAGTTCAAAAATAATATTTTTATTATTATTATGAAAAAATTGTTTTTTTACATGAGAATTCATATTAATATTTACTTACCTTTCATATTCTTCTTAATTTTGTTCATGTAAATTATTATTACTTATTAATAAAAAAATTATATTTAATTAATTTTAAAAAATTCGTATTTCTTTTATTAATCAATTCGTTTTTTCTTAAATTGTCATATAATATTGCAAATTTTAAAATGAATAAGTTTATCTATTTGTCTGTTGTTATAGTTTCCTTTGCATTTCAATTGACTATTGCAATTAAAAATAATCGTCATATTATCTGAAATTGTATGTTTTCAACATAATTTTTCTTCGAAGATTAATCGAATATCGCACATGTCATTTTATTTATTTATCAACAAAGATACAAACTAATATGAAGAATATAATTTTTTTTTAAAAGAAATGTTTATTTCAATCTAATTTTCTTTCAAATTAATTTTTCAAAAGTAATTGATTATAGATAATTAATTCTGCATTATTAGATTAATAAGAATTAAAATACTTCCCAGAAAATTCTTTCCTATTCTTCCCTAAAAATGTCATGCATTGTAATAAAATTTTCGGATCCTTTTTTTGTTATGAAAAATCATGTTTTCTGTATGTTTTGATATTTCAATATTCAGATGATATTTTAGGCATGAATTATTTGTATCATATTTGCTTTCATTTCTAATTTTCTTATTTTAAAGTTTTTTATTTATTTTAAGTTTTTGGATACAATCATTTTTCTTGTGATTCTTGGAATTATTATAATGTTTTACTTTAATATTTTTGTAGTATTACAATTTTTATTAGCTTTTAAAAGCTTTATCTTGATAAAAGTTTTTGTTATTTTTTTATAGAAATTTTTTTCTTCAAAGAAATTTTATGTAAGAATTTCATATTATTTTGCAAGAAAAATTGTGATCATGTGTAGTCAATTAATAATTAATAATATTTTTTTTATATTTTGCATCTAATTCACGTTTATTTTCTTCTTTTTTATTTCATATTTAAATTTAGAGACATTCATCTTTAAATACTTCATATAACTATTTTATATTGTTACATCATTATATTATTTTATGGTATTATTAGTAGTTTTTTTCTTAGTGTATAATTTACATAATCTAATCTTATTGTGTAGTTGATTTAATAATATTTTTCATTATACTTCATCCAAATATTTATTTACTTCATTGATTGCATTTTGAAATTTTTTTTTGTATTTTAAAAATTAATATATATATATTAAATTATTTATGGCGTAATTGAATTCTTACAGTATTGCCATTGAATTTATTTTATTTTTTGTTTTAATGTCATCAATTTTGATTTATTTGTTTTTTACTTTCAATATGAAACTATAATTAAAAATAATTAAAAATAATTTTGAATATTTTTATATTTTTGCAGTCTTTATATAATGTAAAACTTGTAAAAATATAAGTATTACGTAAATTGCAGAAATTATATGAATTTCTGGATTATTATATATTATATAATATTATATTTATATTATATGTATAATATTAATTTATTATAACAATTTATTAAATTTTTTAATCGAACAAAATGTTACTATTGACTGAAGATTTTTTGTTTCAAATTTCTGTAATGAATTTTTTATTTTTTATAGCTTATTTTAGATTATGTTAATTTCATTATATATGGATAGAATTAAATCTGAATTAGTTATAATATTAATTATATTTGATTTGAATATATATTGTAAGTGTTAAAAAAAAATGATTTTTTAAATGTATTTTTTATAATTGGAATTTATTTATTTATTTTTCTTTTTTTGGCAAATAAAAAAATATTTGATCTTTTTAATCTCCTTCGTTTTTCATAATAAAAAAATAATAAATAATAATTTCATTCGATAAAAGAGTAAGAATAAAAATATGATATTCTTCATAAAGATAATAATGATTTTTAATTAATTGCTTCACTTCGTTAATTCAATTAATAGTTGCTTTTCTTAAATTGTTTTTTTGTATTTTTTTTATTAGATATGTTTCAATTTATTTTTTAATTAATTTTTTAGCTTAATTTTTTATAAAATATTATGGATAAAACAGAATATTTTTTAGCTTTTGTCTGGTGGCTAAATTATATTTATAAAATTTATTTCCGCTGTTTTTATGAGTATCTTGTATTTTTTATGTAAGTATTTTTTAAATTAGTTTCTATTATCGTGTAAGTGTTGCATAATGTTGCATTTGTTAACATTAATTAATAATCATCTTAAATATCATTTCTATATTTTTTTAATTATTAAATCCTATACAACATTTAGCTATTATATGATAAAAAATAAAAATAAATGTATTATTGGATCAAAATAAATGCTTTATCGATCTATGCATAAAATAATCTATTATTCGATTAATATTTTTGTAAAATATAGAAGATTACTAATTATTAAAAACTTTAAAATCATATTACATTTTTTCTAAAATAAGAAAATTTTAATTCTTCTTTTTAATGAAAGTTATTTAATAAATGTTTAATTATTATTGATAAACAATATAATATAATTTAATATTAATCATTTATGAATGACTCGTCAATTCGAAATTTATTTATTTTTTAACAAGATGTTGATCTCATATATATATATATATATATTTAGTACTCAGTTATAACATCAAAAAATTATTTAAGTCCAAAATATTTCAAAATTTCAAAAATTTATAATTACATAACGAATATTTTTCGTGATTAATATTCGAACTCTATTTACAATATTTTGAATTCTTTTCTTTTCAAATTTTTAGAATTGCAACAAAAATAAAATACATATCTTTTATATATTTTTTTTTTCTCTATTATTTTTTCTTCATCTAAAATTTTATTTCTGGTTTTTCTAGGTGAACGTAATATCAAATAAGAAGAATCATGTCTCAACATTGTTATTTCGAATTTATGAATGATAAAGAAAAATTATCAATCTGAAATAGATAGAAAAATAAAGATAATAAATCTAATAAAATGAAGAAAAAAAAACTACACTTATATTATATATTAAAATATTAATTTTAAACATAAAAATATTATATAAATATATAAGAATGAATATTACATTTTTTTTCGAACTATTTTTTTATTACTTTATTACTTATTATATATAAATTACAATTGATGTACTATGAAATGTAATAAATAAATCATGATAGTAATAATAAATTATAAAAGTAATTTTACAAACTTTTGTTTAAAGATTTCATCAAACTTGGCGACGAACTCATTTGTATTAATACAATCAAATAAGTGATTATAGTACCAAAAATCTAAAAGAAAAATTAAATTCTTAAATAAATAATGAAATTATAAACTCACTTGACTCACCATTGTTGATAATTTATTGTTAAGAATATAACCACCAGCAGTAAATTTTAAAGGATGAAGAGAAAGTTGTAATAAAAATTGTTGCACCTGAAATTATTGTTATTATTAATTTTTATTTTGTAAACGTTTTTATAATAACAAATTATAAATGGGGATTATTTCTATTCAATGTTTTATATAGTATAAAATATTTTATATAGAATAAAAAAGAAAAAATCTGAAAAATATTCATAAATTATATACATCATATTCATATATTTACATTTCATAGTATCTCCTAACATTCTAAAAAAGAAAAAAATTTAAATAAAATTAAAAAATAAAACAAATAATAAAAAATAAATAAAAAATTAAATTAGAAAAAAGAATTTGCTTGAAATAATTATTGCAGTACAAAAATATATAAAGTGTAAAATCTAATATTTTCAATAATATTTGAATATGAATAATACTTATTTACAGAGTATTAAAAAATGAAGATCTATATATATATATATATATATATTACCGAAATAATAATGTTATATCTTTTTAGATTACTTTTTAAATGAAATTTTACTAATATAATATATAATATATCATAGATAATTTATTATTTAGAAAAAACTTACTATAAATAACTTACCGCAAATTGTATGATTTAGTATTGTACAACATGTCATTTAAATTTATGAATTGTGTAACATTTTATTTAAATTCATAGATAAATCGTATATTACTCAATCTACCTATTAAAAAAGTTGAATATATTTTTGTTCCTTTAATTACTTTCTAAAATTTGCTTTAATACACATTTGTTTGATTTATGTGACAAAAAAATCAATTGTACTTAAATCAATTCCATAGATTATTAAATGTATTAATGAATTAATTGAAGAGTAAAAAATGGAATATATAATGATTAATTTAATTTTGTTTTATTAATAAAAAATTATAGACATAAAATTAAATAATAATCTTATTAAAAAAATTAAAAAATTAAATAATATTTTTTTATATTCCGGAACGATATAATCGAATGTTCGAAATTTTCACTTTTTTATAACATATTTTTTTACAATATCGATGGAATAACATTAATATTATTTCTTTAAAAGACTTTATATGTATAAATATATGAATTAAATTTAGATTGTCTTCGAATGAAATGATAAATTATAAAAATAATATAAAATAGTCTTTAATCATTAAAGAAAAATATTTTTGAATTAAGAAAAATCAAAATTCTTTTATAAAGATAGATTTTTATTATTGTGTTACTATACTTTTATATTATTATTAATTATTGTATTATTATATTGTTATTATTGCCATTTATAACAAAAGCGTGTACAAGAAGAAGTTTAGTTTTTCTTCAAATTTTACTAAAAATGATATATTGCAATCATATGTATCATGTACAATACATATAATACATTCTAAATATACAGGGTGTTTATGAAAATATGAGACATTTTTGGAAGGTAGATTCTAGACATAAAAACAATAAAAAAAAGTTCATATACACATATATCCGATAAGATTTAATTATAAGCTTAGTTATAAACATTTTAAGTTTATATTAGATAGAGCGAGACGGCAGAAGAACGAGAACGCTGGGTGCACAGTAATATCGTATCACTTGCGTAGCAGAATTTTTCGATGAAAGTAAATATACTGACATTTTTTTTACATATAATTGATTATTTCAAATAAATTTCAATATATAATAATAATAAAAGATAATATATAATATACATAAATATTGTGTAATATAACTATGCAACATTTTTATATCATTTAAAAAAAATTTTAATTATGCATTTTAATTATTAAAATTTATGTAGTTAGTTATTTAATAGAAACCTAGACAAATTATAGCAAATTTCACACATATTTGAAGGTATATGATAATTATACAATAATTTCATTGAAAATCATAAATGAATCGTTGTATTTCATTCAACCTGCCGTACTTACCGAAATCTATAGAAGGAATTCATACTTCTACAAGATTTCGAATTAAAAAGGCTGAATGTGTTTTTATATGCACAATTGCTTTTTTAATTCATTTCACATGTACAAGATAATCCAAAATACTAACGATATTTGAATCAATTTGAATTTTAGATTATTAAATTATTCAATCAAATCATTGACAAATATTTATTTTTATTTCACTTGAACTAAATATTTTTCATTCTTATACAGAGAGAAATAATAATCAATCTGGATATTACTTATTAATAATATAAATCAATATTACACATTGATATCACATATCCATAAAAAATTCATACATATTACTTTTTTTATGTATGTTTGAATATTACAAATTAATTAATTTTTTTTATTTCTAATATATTTTGTTACATATTCTAATACATATTATATGAACGTTATGAACGAATTAAGTCCAATTGAGAACAAAGCAACACTATCTTAGCAACGGGAAAGATTGTTGACTTAGGCTTTTATATTCTTATATTTAAAAACACACAAACATAACATTCAATTTCGAATATTACTATCTTATTTTTTTTTTCTATCAAGTTTCTTTTTCTAACGCAGCATTCAATGTTGTTGTTCAATAGTAACATTATTTCAATAACACATTATCGCATCACGGAATCAGTTCAGAATTTGATGAAATAATACATATTTGAATATTTGTTTAAAATAAAGTCTTAATTGAATAATTTTCATAAAAATTTAAATTATACAATAATAAATAATAATCGAAATAATTTTATTCAAAGAACTTAATGTGAATAATGAATAAAAGAAATTTAACAGTAACGTGAAAATAGTATAATAGTAATAGTAGTATATATAATATATAATAGAAATAGTAACGTGAAAAAGTAAAATACAATGCTTATAAAAATGTTTATTAAAATATAGATATTGAATTTCAACTTTTTTGTTTAGTAATCTCATATCGAAATAGAAAATATTGAATTTAAGTGAAATAAAGACAAAGATTTTTCAATTGATATTTCAATTGGTTTATAAATTTCAAATTGATTCGAGTATCATTAATGATTTTCTTATACATGTGAGAATAACCACATTTATGTATAAAAAAATACATTCAATCTTTCTAATCTGAAATTTTATGGAAATTTCAGTAAGTAGACAAACTGAGTGTCATACAATGATTTAACTATACACTTAAATAATATATTTAAATTTATATAAAGTAGTGTGTTATCGCCGTAGCCGAGTTAACTTCGTCACGATGGACTTGTTAGGCGTCGAATGATGGATTATTAAAGAGCTCTTCCTGACTAATTGAGAGTGTCCTAATTATAAATGGAGCATGACCAATAACATCGCCGACAGCATCTGATTTGCGACATGGGCTAAAGTCGGTGAAATTCATGCCCGACAGGCCTTTTGTATACAAGCCGCGGATGATAGCATGTACACGTATCTCCTGGTAGATCTAAACAAAGAGCTCCTAATGTTTATTAGTATGTTCTATCGATGACCTTGACGGCGATTACGGTTTTTGTTTAGGTTTACCAACAGTTTGCTGCCGTAGGAAAGGATCTTGATAGAGAACTTTCCGAACAATCGTCTGTTTATTGTCCGCGATAACGCTCACGAACATACCGCTCGCCTTGAGCCACTCGCGTTCAATTCCTCCACTGTTGTTGGAGGCAAATTCGCAGAATCGGCTATTCGTGGTGTTTGAGTCGCGTTGGGTCGTCTTGGGCAGAATGTAGACTTTGGCCATTAGTCTGATGAGAGTACCAATGCTGGTTCACACTGACACCATCCGTGTCACGCCATTTAGTTCCGGATGCAACTCCACGATGCGATCCAACCTCCATCGCAGCAGTGGCAGGTTTTCTTCTTGAGCACGACCATCGTATCCACTCCAAAGATCTCCGGTACCGAGTCTTTTCACTTGGACCGTTGTTGGAATTGATACAGATAATCGTGCTGCCATCTCTTTCAGAATTGTTACTGGAGTGTCTAGAGCAGCTGAAATCGAGAGAGACGACTGACCTTGACATCAGTGACGTCAGGATAGATTAGGTCGGCTATCGGACCCCCAGTAAGGAAGTGTCCAGGAGTCAAGATCCTTGGGATCCGAAGACAAAGGATACAATGACCGAGAGTTTAGGCAAACCTCGACCCGAGCCAGCACGGTGCGCAGTTTCTCATACATGAGGCGCGTCTCTCCAATCATGCGCAAAAGGTGTCGTTTGATTGATTTAACCGCACTTTCCCACAATTCACCAAATGTGGTGCGTGTGAGGGCATAAATCGCTACTCAACCCTCCGCGATCGCGTGATGACAAATGGACTTCTCGTTCTTTTAAAGGAATCCGCGAATTCGACTCATTCCATGTAGTTTCGTCGCGGTGTTGACGTTAGTCGTATTCGGCCTACTCCGGACGATAGCTTTTTTGGAACTTGTGTCCCAACTCAATATGACCATATCCGACGATCGGAGCACGGTTTATAATGTGTTACGACTGCCTGAAGACGTAATCGGTAGTATAAACTGCCCGAAGGCCTAATCGGTAATGAATGCTAGCCAGGAAGAAAGTCGCTCAGGTGGATTCTCTTCCTGGTTGATTGGGAGTGTCCCCATTATGAGTGGGGAAAATATCGGTGCCGCAATTGGGGCACCGATATCACCCGATGCGCGATGTAGGTCCAGGGCGATATCACCCGCAAGGGCAGGTGTTTAGATCCAGAACATTCGACGGTTGAGGCGAATGTTTTGGGTAACCCAAGCAAAAACCTCAGCTGTTTTTGCTCGGATTACCGACACCTCACCGCGCGGTCGCCGGGGAACCCGTGACTTCTGGACTGTTCTATTTATAGGTCGCGACAATGCTCGCGACCACCATGCACTCACAAAGTTGGTCCCACTGTCCGAGCAGATCTCTCGATATCGACCCCGACATGCGAAAAACCTACTCAAACAATTCAAAAATGATTCCGTGGTCATCTCTAAGTGGACTGCCTTAGTGGCCAAGCACACAAATACACACAGATAGGTCTTGGTTGTACTCTTACTCTGGATCCGTTCCTTGATGAGGATCATTTAATTCGATAATTAACTGATGCTGGTTCCCAACACAGATCGAATGTACGAAGATCCTTCTCAAGTTGGGTCCACGACTATGGTAGCACTTCTGACAACTGGGTTCGTCAGAGGCCCATTTCCGCAAGTTCAAACATGATGCTTGTAAGATCTCTTTTGATTACAATCGTCTCTTCCACGGTGTCCGTCAAAAAGACATCCACGCAGTATCGCCTCATTAGCTGCTGGATAGTTCGCGTTATTGTCTAAGCCTATCTGCCGCAACACGCGCGTAGTTAGATAGGGGGTTGATGCAGTGCCATATATCACCGTGTTCAGCTCGTAGGTCTCGATAGATTCTTGACGAGTCTCCACAATACGCGCTGCAGATGGGGAACGACTAATATTTACCGAAACTTCTTCTCAATGTCCGCGCTTAGGACAACGCAATACATTCGAAAACGGATTAGAATCGACAAAAGATCTTCCTGGATTGTCAGATGCATGTCATTTAGGAAAACCCATGCAGCCTTATAATTCTTTTCCCCAACGGATGTCAAGATCCGAAATATCTCATCCTTTAGAGCGAACTTGAGTAAAACTCTCTTCATGTTGGAGAGCGAGTCATTGCGATTAACCATTGACTCAAAACTAGAAGAAGACCCACTCACTGAGTTCGCCGCTGAAAGTGGGCAAGGAAATCAGAAGTAGCCGATGAGATGTTGTCATAGATAACGGTGTGGACGAGCTCAGGACGACTACCCACGGAGAACGACGTTGACCATATGCAAATGACCACACACCGATTAGACCGATATGTTTTTTCAAAGTTTTGGCGAAAGTTGATGTACTTCTTTACGAGGATCTCGATTCGTTCCTGCAAGGCTTCGAACCTCTCGATGAACTCCACGGTGCAATTCAGCCGTTCCTCAAGGGAGTTCACATCAATCGTTTGCCCCTCCTCATCATAAAAGCTCTTGAACCTTGTCAAGCTAAACTTGAGCCAACCGCGTTCTTTTACTAATCTACGCAGCTCCTCATTTGGCTGTGTCATGCTTGACTTGAAGCGAAATTTGAAAAACTTTAGACTCACCGGATGTAGATGGGATTAAAGACAGATATCGCCTGTTCAATCTTCGCTGCTGGAATCTAGCTGTATGCCGGAGTCCGGTGATCTCAAATTTTTTCAGTAACTGGATTTCTCGACGTTATTAATTTGCCGAGGATGAATGTCTTCCAGAAGTCCGTACTCGTTCGGAATCCGGCTCGAAGGACCAAATGTTATCGCCGTAATCGGGTTAACTTCGTCGCGGTGGATTCGTTAGGCGTCGGGCGATGGATTATTAAAGAATTGTGTCTCGTACGTATATACAAGTATCGTGTCTGACAGTTGAAACACGATTTCACTCGATTTACCAATTGATTACTTGCTGTGCCTGAGAGTTTGTGCGGTAGTGATGATTAGCCAGAAAGAAAGTGGCTCAAGTCAACTCTCTTCTTGGCTAATTGAGAATGTCCTAAATAGGGCATGCCGCTGACCGATAACATCGCTGACAGCATCTGATTTGCAATATGAGCCAAGATCGGTGAAATTCACACTCGGCAGGCGTCTTGTATACAAGCCGCGGATGATAGCATGTATGCGTTAGATCCTGATAGACATAAACAAAGAACTCCGGGTGTTTTTTGGTATGTCGGCCTTGACGGCGATTACGGTTTTTGTTTAAATCCACCAACGGCTCGCTGCCCTGGACAGGAAGAACCTTGACAGAGACCTTCTCGAACGATCGTTTACTGTCCGCGATAACGCTCGCGAACATAGTGTTAATATTCTGGAATTTACTAAATTACTTATTCGAGGTAAGTTTTTGTTAAATAAGGAATTATATAATACGCACATTATATTATATTACACTGAAATTCATTTGAAGTAATCAATTATATAAAAAATATATATAAAAAATCATCCATCCATGATCAAAATAATATTATAATATATGCATTAATAAGTATGTGATCACTATTTATTATTTATTTATTTGCTACCGTTTATCTATTTCTTTTATAAACATATAATCTATAATATTATCATATCATCAAATATATAAATTATGATAAATATATTGCAATAAGCATTTGAAATATATATAAGCTGTTCCAAAAATAGAAAAACATTTATTAATAAAATATTAAAAAATAATAAAAAATTCCTGAGATAATTGTAAGCAATATTTTTCTTTGCAAAATTTTCATTATGGCTATGTTAACAAATATATAACTATATAAAGTATATTATACTTCTAATAAATATAAAATATTTTTAATAAATAAAAAATAATATTTCTAATAAAAATAAATATAAAATTTTAGTAATTATTCATTAATTTTTTAGATAATGCACTGTATTATAATACATATTATTTATAGCTAAAATTTTATATTTCAAATTCTATCTTCTTATTTCATCCATCTTAAAATTTCGATATATACATGTAATGATTAAGTCATATCATACAGTACAGCCAAACTTGGGAGAGAGAAATTACAATAGCCGAATTTAGAATGATATCGTAATTAATATCTATTTTTGTAATATTATTTATTGCAATTTTAATTTTTTAAAGATTGTTTTTATTTATTTTTGCATTCGAAGAATTCATGAAATAAAATGAATAAAAGAATTAATGAAATAAAATCCTTATAAACAAATAAGAATGATGACACACCTATTTATATTTACGTTTATAAACAATTGAAATAGTGACAGAAACATTTTATTACGAATGTATATTCATAAGTTAAATTCTATAATCTTAACAATTTTGTAAAAAAAATTATTTTATAAAAAAGCATTCTATAAAGTAAATTTAAATAAATATAAAAATTTAATATTTTTTTCTTAAAGAACAATACATTTGAAACTCATTGTTTCTTTGAGACTCTTATTTTTAATGATAAATACTTTATGATATAATCGTAAAATCGTTTTTGCAATCATTTTTTAAACAGATTTCCATCGATTTAAAGATATATAAAATTATCTTTCAAAATCAATGTTTCCAAAATTAATGACAAATGATTTTTCACATCCTGTACAAATAATTCAAAAATAGAATATATAAAAATTTTTTCAGAAACTCAAAACTTTATTATTATAAATTTATTACTATGAATTAAAATTGATTATATATGAGAAAAAACATCTAAAATAATGATTTTTTAAATATGTTTTAAAATCATAGAAATCAGAATAGAAATCATAGAAATAAAAAGAGATTATCAATAAAGAGATAATTTTTGGCAAAAATAAATCAAGGTAAATTTTAATTTAATTTACTATTAATGCGAGTCTTACCTCGTTTCTAATGAAATTATCTAAGTAGCAAATATCTAGTTTTCGAAGCAAATATGCTGTTACTTCTACCTATAAAATTTTAACATATCTGTATATTAATTCTTATATATATATATTATATAAATAATATATAATATATATATTATTTCTATTATATAATTCTTCATTATAGTGTAAAAAGATTTAATCTTACCTCGTGATAGAATTTAGTGCATTGATTATTTATACAAATAATTTTTGTAAAATATAGACAAATCCATATTAAAAATCCTATACTTTGTTTATCTGATAACGCTTTTGAGAATTTCAATGATATTAAATAAAAATATTCATTATAAAGTGTACACAATAATAATGAAAATTGCATTATTAAATCAAATAGAATTTGATAAGTATATGCTTGATTAAGTTCACGTGAAAGCTTTAAAATCTCAAAATGAACATACCTTTATTAGATAAAAAACAAAATAGATTAATAAAAATTAATATTAATATTATAAATATAAAATAATATTAATATTATTAATTATTTATTTTCGTTATATTATTATATTTATGAATATAATCGTCATCAATAAAAGAAAGGAAAATAGTCAGATATTTAAATAAAACATACAAAAAAAAAGAAAAAAAATTATACATTGGATAACTTCAGATAAAATTTTCAATTATTTTTTACGTGTTCGCACATACGTCAAATTATCAACGATAATAATATAAACTTGACACATCAATTTTATTTACACATAATTCATATGTCTAATCATTTCATTTATTTTATATTTTTTGGAATATTTCTTCATAAAAAAAGCATTGTATCTCATGATATTGATAAAAAAATTTTAATTTAAATTTTTATTTTATCACGACATTTTTTACATAAAATGGCAATTTCTTTTATGATAAATTCATTCTCAATTTAAAAAAAATGTTAAAATTTCATTTTTTTAATATATATAGTATATAATATAAAAATAATAAAATATAATTTATAAATAAAATACAAAATTTTGTTTTTTTAAAGTAATAGGTAAAGACAATAATTTATTTGCATCTGTTATATTGCTTGTTGACGCTATTGGATATTTAAACAGAAATTCTATAGAATTATTGTAGAAAACTGTTCACAAAAGAACACTGCTGATAGAAAACTAATCGATAAACTTTTATGCTTGAATTATGGAAAATATTACAATATCGTTTAATATATCACGATTTAAAAATCAAATCCGTTTTGTACAAATCTAATAAATTTAATGAATCTTTAAAAATATTTAATTTTATGTCTTGACATAAGTTCTTAAAAGTTCTAATTAACTAGATCTCACCCAATATCTTTGCTATTAATTTGTATAATATAAAAAAATGTTAGCTTTATGTTAAAAAATTATAAAATATATTGAATATTAAAATCAATAAAATGTATAACAAATATAAAATCAATAATATATGTAATAAATATATTTAATAATAAACATTGATAAAATTTAATATCGGTAATATCACTTTCAATAAGAAAATTAATTAAAATAATTAATTAGCTTGGTATGCATGTTATTTGCTTGTAAATACAAACACTCAAGATATTAAAAATATCTAGAGCCATCCACTCTTTGAAGCTTCTCAATTCAATAATATTATAAAATTGCAAAATTCTATATATTATTGTGATCTCACCTTGTAACTTGAAGAAAATGTTGAACAAAATGTTTTCTATTATAATAATCCATTATAATTATAAATTTATGTGCAATATGTGATTGTATCTTATATCTTTCATCAATATCTTTCGTATTTGATAACTCATACACCTCTTTTATAATCTTGTTCATTTTATGCAATTTGTCCTGTAAAATACTTAAAAAAGATTCAATAAATATAATAAAATAATATGATTTTGAAAATAATAATGATTGAAATATGATCTTAAATGTGATTAATATTATAAAGAAATATAACTAATATTTTAAATTAATTCATATTTTTATAATTTTCAAGAACGAAACAAAGAATTAAAGAAATCTTACGTATTTCTAGAATGTGATACAAATGAAAAATTAGGAAATAAAATGAAGAAATAAAATTTTTTTCTCGTAAATTTGAAAAAAAAATTTTTTTATTAAAATTATATGTGTTTTTTATTAAAATTATATGTTATATATGAAAATATAGTGTATATGAAAATATAAACTAAAGATATAATTTTAATATTTTTATGTTTAATATTTATTCAGTTTTAATTTTGATAATGTTAATTTTATTTTTAATTATGTTTTGAGGAATAGAATTAAATAATTTATGTTCAATTATTTATCCATTTTCAATTAGATTACTTCTTTTTATCGAATAATAGATTCTGTACATTGGTAACACGATAAAAAATAATATAATAAAATTTTACTATAGTTACGATTTTTGTTCGATTTGGTAAATTTTTTTATCTTTTTTATCATGCCAAATTTTTTTTTGCATGATTATTGCTATTGTATAATATAGTCTATAAATACAAAACCATTATTAGTTTCATTAATTCGAATTCATTTAACAATAAAAATATTCATCATAAAAAAATTCATATTCATAAAAAAATATTCAAATTAAATATTCATCTCATTCTTAAATATATATATTTACGTATGATATTGAATAGAGATGATAAAAAAAAAATCTAAATAATTTAATTATTAATATTTGTCATATTTGTCATTTGATCGCAAATAATGAAAAATAAAAAAAAATTTACTGAATATTAAATGTAAAGATTAAAATTACACATTGATTTTATCGCAATCTAAAATACAACAAAGAATATTTTTTCTTTTTCTCATTTTTTTTTGTACCACGGAAATATATAAGTAATTTTTCTTTTATTTTTATAAAAATTAAATAATAATATAAGTGATTTTATAATTACTTACAATATTTTATAGAATGTATAAATAATAAATATAAAATACATTATAACATGATTTTATATTTTTGAATTGATAAAGATCTATAAAGAATATGTGAAAATGATTTTAAATCATTTTTGCACGCACTTTTATTTACAAATTTTCACTAATCCAAAGATATAAAATCACTTATAATATTCTTTACATATATTTGTTATATATTCTGTATAAAAAAATATTTGGGAAAAATATATATATAATTTTATATTAATATGAAATACTAATAATGAATACTAATTATTCATGAAAAATAGATATTTCTTAAATTTATCAAATATATAGTCTGACAATTAATAATTATATTTTTTATAACTATAAGTTATGAGAAATTTAAAATGTATCATATTTTTAAAAAAATAATCTTCAATTCAGAATATATATTTTTCTATTCAACTACTTTTAAGTTCATTAGCATTTTTTCTTGTATATAATTTATCTTACCTTACAAATATTGTGAAAGTAAAAATCCCCAAATACATAGTTGCTATTATTATATATATGAGAATACTTAAATTAAATTTTTGTCTTTCTTCTTTGGAAATAATATAAAACAAATTTATTAAAATCATGCTTATTATTATTATGATGGATATAATTAATGTTTGTATTATTTGAAAAAAAGTTTTTTTGTAATTTTTCTCAACTCCGAATGATTCTAAAATAATGTCTATTTGTTCACATTTTGTAATAATTTTCCTTGAACGCTACAATGGAAAAAAGACAAAAGAAATATAAAAATTTTAAAAAATTTAAATTTAAAAAAAGTTTAAAAAATCAAAAAATATATAATATTAGATGTTAATATATTTGTATGTTACTTTTCGATTCTGAAAGTCAATATAAACACTGAAATACAAATATTGATTGAATTTTATTCTTTAATAAGTCATGTACAACTTTTAATTTAAGCAAATTTAAGTTACATTAGATGAAATGAAATGGAGAAAGAGAGAGGTTGCATTATAGTAAAACATTTTCATTTCATTTGCTTTATTTACTACCAATTTAAATTGTTAAAACTTAATAAAAAAGTTAAAAAAACATTTTTATATATTAACTTTTTTATTTGTTTTAGAGATAATATAAAAAGAATTAAAAAATTATGGCTAAGTAGCAATTATATGCTATTATAGGAAAAAATTGCTTACAATATTGATTTCTATAACATATCCTAAAATAGATGAGAAAATCTTTTTTCTAAATGAATCTAATTAATACCATTTTCAGAACATAATAATGTCAACATGTTATTCTATGCTTCAATATATTTAAATTTGTATATGAAAGCAAATATTTACATTATTTTATTCGAAATATAGTCATATAAAATCTTCTTATTAGAGAATTCAAAATGATACAATATTGATAAATTCAAACTCGTCAAAAATATTGAAATACATAATATTAAAATTTTTAAAAATATAACATATCTTACGTCTTATATTTAATAAAGCATATACTTAATATACTTATAGTTTATGACAATAAAAAAAGATTTTTCATGCAAAGAAATTTTTTCTAAATCATGTCATAAATTATAAGATAAATCATAAATTTTATAACTATTTATTGGTTAAAAAATTTTTTCTTATTATTTATAATAATTTTTTAACTAATTTTGAGTATTATCAAATAATAATACAATAAAATGATATTTTTTATATTATATATAATAATATTATGATAAACAGTTATAAGATTCACGAATTTGAATATTTATCATGAATATAATCTATGTAATTTAGAATTTTTCTAAAAATTGATTTTTAATATTTTTAAATAATCTTCTACATGAAAATTAAGATATTATCTATTATGAAAATCCAAATATTAATGAAAAATCATGAAATATTTATAAGGTATCTATTATTGTAATTTGATCATTGTAATTTCGAATATCCAATAATTGTTTTATATTTTATAATTTTTAAATTTAAGATATTTTAAACCCACTATAATCTATTAGAAAGTTTTAAGTCATTATTATTAAGTTTTTAGTCATTATTATATATCTTGTTAATTCATATTATTGCTATATACATATATTCATTAATAAGAAGATAAATGTAGACTATATGTTGCACAAATAATGTGAATGCTAATATATGAAAAATAATGTATAAAAAAATGTTATATATAATAATAATAATTTCTATTTGGGAAATATTTCAAAAACTAAGACTGAGCGACAGTTATAAGAAAAAAAAAGTTATTTATAATATTAATTTCTAAATGATTTCGAAATATCCAAAATTCATAAAAAAACTTTTTTTAATAAACTAAATAAATAACATAAAAATTTTACCAGAAAATAGTAAATTAATTTTTTACAGTTATAAAAGGTAGATTTTCTTTAAAAGCCAAATGCCAAAAAAAATTTTGTAAATTTTTCAAAAAAGAAAAAGATCTCATTTAAAAGAGATCATTAGATTAAATCTAATAATGAGAAAATAAAAATATTTAAAATAAACTCAGATTATATTTATTAAAATAAACATAGATTGTAATACAATTTTTTTTAAAAAATTATAATAATTTAAATATCAATTTTTGCTAAAAATTTAGTATTCTTTTAATTTCAGATGTTAGTGTAAGAAAAATAATAATATAACAAAAATATTTTATATTAACAAAAGAATGGCATATTATTTATAATTTTTTATGAAGTATGGTATATTCGATAATATTATATTCTAATAATATAATAGATACTAATATAGTAGATACTAAAACATAATATTTTAAAATTTTCTTGTTCATAATATAATAGGTTATATTAGTAAAATTGATCCATATGTTAATTTATACGATTAAAGTAGTGCTAGTTTTAACATTTCAAGTTCAAATCGAATATCTAACGCTTATTTAGATAAGTTATTTTTGCAATTTTAACATATAAACGAAAAAGAGGAAATATATATGAATGAGATATAGAATCAATTAAAGAATCAAATTTAGTTCAATACTTCCGACATACTTACTTGAAACTTCTGAGATTTTATTCTAGAATTAATATAAATAGCAATGGACATAGAAATAGCAATTGACAAAAAAACGTTAAAATAAACACTACTGTATATACCAACTAAGCAAGCTTTTTTTTAGTTTACTTAATTATTTATATATATTGTTATATATTATTATTGTTTTAGAAATACTTACTTCTGTATTCAGCATTCCAAAAATTATAAAAATTATGATGCCTATAATGTTAATAGACGTAGTCAATTTATAACTGATTTCTTGATATGCAGGCCACTTTTTATAACTCATGTTTATTATTTCATTTATATATACAGTATATAAAATGATACATATGATAACGTATATTATACTCCAGTCATATCGTAATCGTCCTTTAGATTCAAATACACGTAGACCAAATATCTCATTAATAATAATGATATGTATTAATGAAGCATATTGAGTTTCTGGTGTCCATTTTAAGATTTTTGTTTTAAATGCATCAATTATTATTTCTAGAAGCACATATTAACATTCTGATAAACAAATCTATGATAAATAAGAATTGATTTTTATAAGATTATATAGTTATATTATATAAATTACAATTTTATAAAAATAATTATATAAATTTAATATTATAATTTAATAAAATTATTATAAGTTATTTTTTTTATAAATTTCAAATGTGAATACAATTTTAAAAGTATACATGTTCAAATTTGTAATGTAAAATTTATTTAAAAAATTTTTTTAAACTATAATATATTATCTGTATTAATTAATATGAAAATAAGAAAAAATAGATAATAGATTTAGTATCTAAAAATATCAGTGAGATGGATCTTTCTAATAAAAATAATATTTCTTTATCATTATTATCAAGAAGATTATTTCCTTACATGAAGAGAAATTCTATATTTTATTTACTAACCTTTCATATTCTTTTGGTTTTGTTCACAAATAATTGTATTTATTAATAAAAAAATTATATTTATTTATTTTATTAAAAATTTTCACTTTTTTTATTAATTATCTATTTCTTTTTTTATATTCCTTCTAAATTACTACGTACAATGTAAATTATGTAATTGTAAATTATAAAATGAATAGGTTTATCTACTTATTTATCGTTATAACCTTCTTCTCATCTCCTTTATGACTAATACGATTAGTAATACGATAATCATATTATCTGAAACTGTATTTATAATTGTATGTTTTCAACATAATTTTTCTTTAAAACTAATCGAAAATGTCATTTTATTTATTTATCAATAAAGATACAAATTAAAATGCATATAGAAACATATAGCTTTTTGAAAGAAAATGTTAACTTCAATCTAATTTTTTTTAAATTAATTTTTCAAGAATAGTTTACATACGTTCCATATTATTAAATTATTACATTATTAGATTAACGAGAGTTGAATGAGTAGAATATTTATCACTAGAATTCCTGATTAAAAATATATTATTATAAGATCTTTAGATCTTTTCTTTTCTAGTTTATAAAGAACCGTATTTTCTGTATATTTCGATACTTCAATTTTTTGAATATTATAATTTGGTGTTTCTAATATAAATTATGATGATATGATAAATATTTGCTGATTTCGTTTTTATTTTCCATTATTCTAAGGTTTTATTAGATCATTTTTTTTTTTGTGTCATGAAACATTGCAATTTTTCATGGTGTTTTACTAATATATCTTTTGTAATATTTTAATGTTCGATTTAATTGTATGAATTCATAGATGTAAATTATAATATTGCTTTGTATAAAAGTTTTTTCTTTATAAAAATTATTGTGTAGAAAATAAATTAAATATAATTCTTTTTTTCTTATGAGAAGAATAATTCTTTTTTCTATTTCTTTTTTCTTTATGAGAACTTTTTGTGAGAAATTTATTTTAAAAACAATTTTAAAGAAAATTATAATTATTAATAATAGTCAATATATATTTTTCATATTTTGCTTTTAGTTTACGTTTTTTTTTTCTTTTATATATATTTCACATTTAAATTTGACATTGAAATTTATTTTTAAATATTTCATATACTATTATTTGCTTTTTATCGAACCGATTGCATTTTAGAATGTTTTTTCTATTTTATAAATTATAAATTAAATGGCGTGATTGGATTCGTTTTGCAGTATTATCATTAGGCTTATTACATTACTTTATTTTGATATCATTAATTTTGTTTTATTTGTTCTTTATCTTTAATACAAAGCAATGATCTATTATGACTAATTTTAGATTGTAATAATCTCTAATGGTAATTATTTGTTTAATTTATAGTAATTTTTATGTCATACTAATGTTAAAATGTTTCTATGCATTTAAAAATATTAAGCATAGATACTTCTTTTTTTTTTATAATATTTTTCAATTATTCAATTTCAAATGGAATTCCATATGAATTTCGTTTTGTCACAATTATTAAATCCTTAAATAAAGCACGAATCTGGAAACAGAAATGTTCTATTAGTTTTCAAAAAATATAAATTTCTATAAAATTATGTGATTTCTGACAGAAAATTATGTGAAAATTAATAACGATAAAAAACTTCAAATTTTAAAATAAAAAGAAAAGCTGAATATAATATTTATAACTATAATAATTTTTA